TATTCATCCTGGCCAGCAAATACTATTGCATACATTTTTGTAAGCTCTGTAAGGACCGTTTTCCACAGAGTTGGTTTCTAATAGCATCTGTTAATGTATGATCACTCCTAAGATTATCTTTGACTGTATTCTGGTTTTGTGAACAAGCATTTCTGTTATACTTGTGGCATGGGGTTATTAATCAAACCTGGATTTTGTCTCTGAGACTTGTAGCATTATATCATGGTCTTCCAGAATCCTTTTTCCATGATGAGACAAGATTTGTGTAGCTTGAGGCTTTAGGAGAAGGGTCACCTGTTATCTTGGTTTCCACCTTTAAGCTTCTGGAATTCTTGTTGACAATTAAAACAGCTATGAAACTTTTGAAGTATGTTGTAAAACAACTTAAAATATACTAGTCTCTTCACATAATAAACTTTCTTTGATTATAGTTAAAATAACAATGTTCTTTATACATGAGAAACCAATTAAACTGGAGGCTAAGCATTCTTTTGCCTTTTTTGGTACAAAAGACTAGCACAATGCTGCCAAGTTAAAATTTGACTTTCAGAAGACACTTGTTTTTAATTTTGACTTTGAAAATGTTCTAGTAACATTCTGAATGAATTTAACTTCACAAAATACATGCAGATTAATGTGGACACCTTTCTGAAAGTAGTCAGAACTTGAAATACATGAACTTTACATTAAGAAAATTGAAAGCTTTTTACTACTGTGTGTATATATACAATCGGTAGCAGACTTCTAAAATGCATACAGTATTCAGAAAGATCTTTACCATGTGCAATATATTAAACAAAAGTGTTACAGTGACTGTCTTCATTTATTTGAAATGATCCCCAGATATTTGTGATATTCTGAAAATGACAGCAGGAAGATGGAGTCGATCTGGAGGGTAGCTATTAGTTGCAACAGTCATGATGGCCATATTCTGCCTACATTCTTAGCTATGCAACTGCAGCAAAGGCAACAGGGTAATTGCAAGTATGACTATATACAGCAATAAAAAACCTACAGGGCTCTTGAGTCCAGGACCGTGGGCTCATGATCTTGTACTAAAAATTTCAGGGTAGATGTTCAGGCTGGAGTGTGGTCCGAGATCTAGTGAGAAGAGTTGATGTCGGAACTCAGGCTCTGAGATCAGACCATCTGTGTTACAGGGCCAGTTTTAGCCCCAGCCATGAGAACCCGAGTTCCACTTGAGCCAGCTGTGATTGTCATAGGTCTCCTATTGCAATATAGAGATCTCCTGAGGGGCCGTCCTTTGCATAAGAGCCTTCTATCTCCTATTCCTGTCAGTGCTAGGACAGGCCTTTGGCTTCAGTCAATGAAAATGATGCTTTGCCAGCAAAAATGGACCCATCTCCTGTTGTGCTCAGTTCAGCACAGATGATTCCTTAATTGCCATGTGAGAGCTAAGCAAGGACCAGAGGAATGAGGAGGTGCTGTAGGGGCAGAGGAGAGGAAACGTGATAGGGACCAGGACAGGAACTGGGCAGTCGGCAGACTGAAGGGGGCTGCTAGGGATTACTGTATTGAGGAGACATGCAGGCAATATGAGTGGAGCAGGTACCTTGTCTGCCTTCCTGCGGAGAGAGAGAGAGCAAGTAAAGGGCAGTTCCCACAGCCCAGGGGGTAAGAGAAGGTCACAGCTTCCCTGTTCAGTGATCATCTATATACTTGAACACAGATTGACGCTGTGATAATCCCCCACAAGCTGTGCAGCTTTCCTTAAAATGGGATGGGAGGGGAATACAAATGCAGGTAAAAAAATACAATTGGCTTAAAAAAATTATTTAAAAAAAATGCCTCCTGATTCAACAAGCAGTATCTGTAGCAGTATTTTGAATACAAGGCCGTAAGGTAGGTCTGATGCCTAAAGAAAGGCTTTCCAACCTTCATGCAGAGGCTCAAAATCCTGGAGCACCTTGACTGGTTCAAAGGGCACAATGCTTAGGAATTGCCACTGGCTCCAAGCAGCTTGGAGTAAGAGACTCTTCGGGGGCTGCCATGAGGAGAAACCACCTGAGCAGCGGAGTAACCATGTTCCAGCAAAACAAGTCAAGAAGAGAGAAAATGAGCATGGCAAGTACCTAGGGCTAGGGAAATCCCCAACTATAAAGCTACCACTTCATCGGGGGAGGGGGGAATTGCTAGGAGTCTGCCACAGGAAGGCAGATCTGGGCCAATACAATAAATAGCCTATTACATGCTCTAGCTTTCCAAAGGTCTGTGGGGACTGGTAATCCCTGGAGGTCACATGACTGATGACTAGCATCAGGGCCTGCTGGGAGATGGGGACAAGCTATAAAAGACCTGTGTGTTGCTCAGACCAAATGGAGAAATACTGTGGAAAGAGCACTTGGGGCGGTGTCTCAGCAGGGGCCAATGGGGGTGCCCTGAGACAGCAGCTGTGACCAAAGGCCTGGAGAAATCTGCACACCAGAGATCTGTGGGAAAGAATCCTACAATGGAGATAGCTTTTGTAGGAAGTAGCCCCAGGAATCAGCAAAGCAGGGTACCTTGGGAATTAAGGCCAACAGCTGCTCTGTTTAGGATCTTGGGGCTGGCTAGAGGTAGGGAACCCATGCAGCAAAGGGGAAGGACTATTACAAAAGACTGGTTACCTTTGCCCCCAAAGGAGAGCTTAGCGCAGCCTGAGGGCAGAATTATCAGTTCCTTGCTTTGGGCAGTCCAGTGGAAACTGAGGGGTGGCTCTACCCTGACACTGGACTGAAGTAAGTGATCCTATTGCAGATGCCTCAAGTGTCCTTTTCCAGACACTGCTGAGCCAGTTCTACAGCAGTAACAATGTGCAGCTGTGCTTTATTTGAGCTCTGGGAAGATGCAAGGAATGGGGGTTGGGATTCTGTTGGAGGAATAGCATTCCTTTGTGAGTTGACTTTGTAACCAGAATTGGATCACTAACAGGAAGAATTGGGAGGGTGAACAGAAATGCCTGATGACCATTATTGGGGTTATTTTTACTCATCCTGGTGGCTCTCAGTGAGATTCCCACTAATGCCGGACAGCTGTGTGGGCTGGAGGGTTGCTAAAGAGTTTACTTGTTTTGAGTTAGGGGTGGAGACAGCTGTGTGGGCTGGAGGGTAAACAAGAGTTTACTTGTTTTGAGTTAGGGGTGGAAGGGGATGTGTCCCCTCAGAGAAAGACTATTCCTTTCTCAGTAGTATCTGTATAAACAGTGGGGCATTAGGAAGATGTTAGGTCAGCAGAAGTATGAAGAAATAATGGTTAAAATCTGAGTCAGCAATGACAGGAATACCTATATGACTACTGCAAAACCATAAACTCTGAAGCATCACATGGTATTTATTTGTCTAGGTTTATAGAATCAGTGGTCCCTAAGTTGTATTAAACAGGGTAGCAACTTCAAACAATAGAGAGAAATATCAATAAAAGTAACTTAACCTGACACGTGGCTTCTGTTAACTCTAGTTAATTTGTCCTTTTCACAAACTTTCGTCCCCTCAGAGGGGCAGGGGAGAGAAATGTGATCAGTGACTCAGTGTGAGAGCAGTCACCGCCGCTGGTACCATAGCATCTTTAGACCACTGTATACAGCTATGTGGCTCTCAAAGATAAAGAGCATCTCTCTCCTTTTTGCTTGTCCTGGAACAAATCTGGTTCCTAGGTGGGATTGTGTGCTGAGCTGTGGACAATTAAAAGACTCTGGTGCACTTGTTGTCCAGTCTCTGCACTGGTGCCCCTCTACATTTTGTGGAGTGCAGAAGAAGCTGAAAGCCCTCATAGCCTTGTTACTGCTTCAGAATTGGCTGTCTACAGGAGGGTGACAGGAGTTCAGTTCTTTAACCTGACAGCCACCCAGATAACTAGGCAGACAACAACCACCCTGGCAGCAAAGGAGAAACGTGAACCGACATTCACTGAAGTTTGTTCCCTTGTTGGTTTCTCTCCTAGGCTCCTTCTGAAATGTGGGTCTTGGAGCAGAGAACCAAAATGACCCACTGAAAAAATTCAGTTAATCTGAACAAAGAGGGATGGTCCATTCCCTTTAGTCCCTTGTTTACCAGTTCAGCTGTGGTTGTTGCTTGCATCTTTTGTTAAATGCCAGGCTGGACGGAAGCAGCACCCTTGTTGTAAAGAGGATTTCCACACTCAAAGTCAGAAATGTTTCTAGGAGGTGCTTTGCCTCTAGCTTTCTCCGTTCCCTGAACTGCTGAGGCTATGTCTACACTGGCGGCTTCTTGCGCAAGAACATCTTGCGCAAGGGTTCTTGTGCAAGAAGACGTCCACACTGCCATGTGCGAGCTGTGCTTTTGTGCAAGAGCTCCCATGGTAGTGTGGACGCTCTCTTGTGCAAGAAAGCTCTGATGGCCATTTTACCCATAGGGCTTTCTTGCACAAGAAATCCCTGCCGAGCGTCCACACTGCCCTCTTGCGCAAGAGCTCCTGTGCAAGAGGGCTTACACCTGTTAAAAAAGAACGTAGCTCTTGCGCAAGGAGCCCTCTCTTACCACGCCGTACTGTAAATTTACTTGCGCAAGAGCAGGCGGGCAGTGTGGACTCTGCAGATTCTTGTGCAAGAACGGCCGTACTAGGTAGGGTAGACATAGCCTGAGTGTGTTTAACTGGCAGGGACTGTGATCTTGGGGTGAGTGAAGCCTTAGGCACTCCAGGCAAGGATCAGGGCCTCCCTCTGCTAGGTCCTGCACAGGTAGCCAATCATGGAGATTGTCCATAAACTCTCTTGGGGGCAGGGACTGTATTTCAGAGAGGACATGATTCCTGAACGGGCTCTGTGCGCCCCATGCATTGATTAGCCTATGCAGTCCCCTCGGAATGGAATCCACCCTTCAGAGTGCTTTAGCCTTTCTCTGATTTATGGACTGAATGACCATTAGAATGTGCTAAACTTATCTACTGGAGAACAATAGAAAGCTTTACCGCCAGCCAGAATCCTGTAAATGAGCAGCCATGCAGATAAAAAAAAATCAGCTGAGTTTTATTTTTCCATGACAGGTGAGTGTGTGGCACCAGCTGAATTGCCTTCCACCTTCCGTACTGACTGCGTCTTTCAGTGACTGTGTGAAGAGCCAGGTTGCCGGCATGCGTAGAAAGCTTTGGAATGTGCAATTTCCTTCCCCACAGCTGTAACTGGGAACAAACATCACAATTACCAGGTAGCTTTAAATGAGTCACCTCCAGATTTTTTTTAATAGATTGCACCTGAGCCATCCAATGAGGGAATGTGGGTCAGGTGTCTAACCCATGGATGGCAAAGATTTGAATGAGCTAAGGGAGAACAGAAGAAAAGGCAGCGAGGGTGGAAGCATTTTCAGCCCTTGCATGGCTCCCTCCAGATTAGGTTTGGGATAGTGCAGAATGGAGAAGCTTGTACTACTTCTGCCTTAGCTGTGTGTGTTGAATGGTTGGCAGAGACTAACAATCCAGCTCTTCCATGAGCATAACTACTGGCTAGCGGTGGGACAAATCCTTAATCCACCTTCCAAAATGGAAACAGGCTGCTTTGATTTGGTAAGGGAACAGGAAATCTTCCCCTACTGGCTCAAATGAAGGAGGACTGGAAGACAAGAATTCTTGTTCTGTGCTTTTATAGGTGAATCAGCTTTTGGTGGAGAAGGTGAAACAAAGCTATTTTGTGTGAGGTAGGAGCTAAAAGAAGACCCATTAAGAAACACGTTTCCATCCTTATTAGAGAGTAGGAGCTGCTGTAAAGTCGGTAACTCAGAAAAGTCTGTACTGCTTTGATCTAGTTCTTACCACCTGCAAATGCTTTAAAAAGGGTGTCCATCTTATTAGCCCTATCTCACAGCCAGGGAATCTGAGGCACAAACTGCAGCAACTTGCCCAATATCACCCAGCAGGCTCACAGAGGAGCTAGAAATGGAATCTAGGTTCCATGAATCCCGAACCAGTGCTCTAGCAAGGCTTGGCAGCCACTGAGCCTGATGGAGGCAGCCCCCAGAAAAGGGGTGAGGTAATAGGAGGCAGGCCAGAATGGGAGTGCAGGGTCTGAAGCTACATGGATCCTTTGCCTCAAAGTGTCTTTTAGGGGATACGAAAAGGCAGCCACCACCATGCAGCCTGTTGGCTATAACAATCCTAGAGAAATGGCCCCTGTTCCTTCTGTCCAGAAACACAGGCGCTCAAGGGAATAAGTCCCTCTGGGAGTACAAATGGGCCCATCCCTTGTACCTTACTATCTCTGCTTCTGGTCTGGCGAGCCTTTCCGCTCAGGCATGTTTCTTAGAACTCGGCTCAGCTTTGCGTTCACCTCATTTAGCCGTGTCTCCAAATCCGTCGCGTATCTGAAAAGTCTAGAACGGAATGAAAATGCACCGATAAATTGTATTGGGTGGAAGGGGACACTGTCCAGTCTTTAGCACCCAGTGTTTAAGAATCATTCTCATTGCTTGCATTGTGTTAATGCCAGGCGAGGGCCAGGCCCCAGTGCTAGCGAGGCCAGATGGGACCCCTGTATATCACAGGCCACCCAGTCACCTTCACACCAAGCCTACCATAGATCACAGTAGCACAGCTACTGAAATCTGATGAGGTTCAACAAGGACAAGTGTAGAGTCCTGCACTTGGGACAGAAGAATCCCAAGCATTGTTACAAGCTGGGGACTGACTGGCTAAGTAGCAGTTCTGCAGAAAAGGCCCTGGGGATTACAGTGGATGAGAAGCTGGATATGAGTCAACAGTGTGCCCTTGTAGCCAAAAAAGCTAATGGCATAGTGGGGTGCATTAGGAGCATTTCCAGCAGATCTAGATAAGTTATTCCCCTTTATTTGGCACTTGTTAGGACACATCTGGAGTACTGCATCCAGTTCTGGGCCCCCCACTATAGAAAGGATGTGGACACATTGGAAAGGGTCCAGCGGAGGACAACCAAAATGATTAGGGGGCTGGAGCACATGACCTACAAGGTGAGGCTGAGGGATTTTGGCTTATTTAGTTTGTAGAAGAGAAGAGTGAGGGGGGATTTGAGAGAAGCCTTCAATTACCTGAAGGGAGGTTCCAAAGAGGATGGAGAAAGGCTGTTCACAGTAGTGACGGATGGCAGAACAAGGAGCAATGGTCTCAAGTTACAGTGGGGGAGGTCTAGGTTGGATATTAGGAAAAACTATTTCACTAGGTGGGTGGTGAAGTACTGGAACGGGTTACCTAGGGAGGTGGGGGAATCTCTATCCCTCGAGGTTTTAAGTCTCGGCTTGACAAAGCCCTGGGTGTCTGGGTTGATTTAGTTGGGATTGGTCCTGCCGTGGGCAGGGGGCTGGACTTGATGACTCCTGAGGTCTCTTCCAGACCTAGGATTCTATGAACTGATGACGTGAAAGATACTCAGATGATCCTAGTGACCGGGCCCAGGAGCTGTATAAATCCAGAATGGAAAGTCACTCCTTGCCCAAAGAGTTTATGACAATCTCAGCTTCTCTCTCCAGGCTGGGACGACGCTCCCAAGCCAATGGAGGAAATGCCACCACGACCCCTTTCTTTACCTCTGCACATTTGTCCCTGGGCTGCTTCCCACACTTGAGAGGACCCTGGCAGGAGAGCAAGCTTCAATGCCACTTCCTTACTTAGCCTCTCCCCCTTCCTCCACAGAGCCTTGTTAGTCAGGGCTGACAAGAGGAGGGTGTTGCCCAGTGACTACACTGAGGTATATTCACCTTCGGTGCTCACGGTACAGTAGGTATAAAACCTCTATTTACTCCCAATAACTTACTGTTCTCTAAATTGTTCCTTGCTCTCTCTCACTTGCTGTTCTCCACAGCTACTGGTAAATCAAGGGCTATGAGAAGAGGTGAGCCACACAATCTCTAAAAGGGACTGACCTGGCGGCTTGTCCCTCAGTTGACTTTGTGCAAAACCCCAGTTTAAAAGGGGCACGGATAACTACTGAGAACATTGGCTGCAGAAAGCGTCGTGATGTGGGAAATGAGCCAAGCTGATTTCTTCCCATAGCCTGCCAGTCTCATCAGCAGGAGGCCAGCACGGCTACCTCTCCACTCTCTTAAAACAGACCCGGTAGCTACTTTGTCCAAAAACTTACTGCTGAAATTCCTGAGGAGAGACATGGTCCTGAGGTGCTGCAGCTGACTCCTTATCCTCAGCAGAGTGATACTTCTGGTGAAGCTTTTCCTTCCACTTCTGTAGCTGCGGTGACTTTAGATAACCCTGCCCAGCAGAGGAAAGGGTAGGTTTTCCAGGAGAACAGCCCCTTCATATAAAGAGCTAGCTGACCTCTCTCCTTCCCCCACACACATTATAGGTAACACATTTGCTTGAATCGCTCACAGAATGTACTTTAGGAAGCATGCATCTGACAGAAAAAAATTGCTCTTTCCAGGTCTCTTCTCTTCGCTTTGAAAACAATCCTGCTTCTGATCTTCCAAAACTGGGGGAGGCTATAAGTATAAATATTCATGCAGCATTAGGGGAGACCCCAAGATGGCTGTACCAAGAGAGAGCTTTACAGAACGAGCAGAGGAAATAAAATAATTCTCAGGGGGCAAGGCAGTTTCCACTATGCAACTGTAGAAGCTCCATTTTTATGGACTTCCAGGGAAGGCAAGAAAGCTGCAATGGAGCAATGACCTTTTGTTGCCTCAGTATGGACTTCCCATGCCCCTGAGAATGCTTCACTACTTCCTGTGGCATAAAATCAAAGCTTGCTCTCTCTGTGGCTTGGACTCAGACCCAGTCAGGCCCCTTATACCACATATTACTTTCTATGTCTTGCATTGTTCCAATGTTTGGTTAAACGATCCATTCCCAAGTCGAGAGCCTGTTCCCACAGCCTCCGGCACTTAATTCAAGCTGGCAACAGCTCTGCTTTTCTGATGCGTGGCCTCCTCTGAACAGAGCGGAGCTATGGGTGACTTTCATTGAGGAATAGAGAATGCAACTAGCAAGTTCTCTTCACCTCATTCAAGTTTGATTGCTACTTCCATGATGTCAGAGGTTAGCATGTTACATGAACATACAACTAAACCCCTCTTCGTTTATCCACGTTGTAACCCTCACAAGTAAAATCTGAAATAAAGTCCATGCCTTTTGGTAAGAAAAAGAGGAACATAGCCTACCTTCTCTTCCACACTAGATCTTCTGGAAAGCTTCAAAGCTTCATCTGTTTTGGAGGCTGAGTATCCCTTGCTGTCAGTCATATCATGCAAAAGAAGGAACATCATGCTGGATTAGGTCTTTGAGGCTCGGGTGGGGGGAGGGGAAGAGGACAGACCATCTCTAGCAGAAAAATAGATGCATCTGTGAGATGGTTTGTTGGGTCTGACGATTCCTCTTCTGAGAGTAATGGACAAGGCATGCAGATAGACCTTTGTAAGAATTCCTAACAGCTAATGGGCCAACAAATGGAGGAAATTTGGCAGTCACCCCATCAATAGCAGGAATTTACTGACTGAGAAGATCCAGGAGCTAAAACCATCTAATTTGTGGGCTATCAAAGTTTTCCCATAATGTGGTTTACAATTTGCTAGTGAGAGCATGTTGTGGATGGCTTCTTTCCCATTTGTGATCTCATGAACCCTATAGCCACAGCCCATCCTGTGGCAACCATAACCAAGGCAAGTGTGGAAGAATATTATTAAGAAAGCACTTAATGTGCGTTTAGCTCCCTTAGTCCACTTCAGCAGGTGGAAATGGGGAGGACGGCCAACACCCTGGGATCAGCAGATTATCGCTGGGCCATGAAGTGAGCACAGGCTGAGACTAGGTAAGCAAGGAGCTATGTCAGCGTCATGCAAGACGTGGGGTTCAGGACATGGGTGGGCGGGAATGTTTAGTGCTTGGTTGACTAGGGGTCCATATAAATTAATACAGCTCCTCAAGGAGATTGTTATTAATTGTCCCTTCTCAGGCACAAATGAGCCTTCACTGAAGAGACAAATGTTCCTTTCACTTTTGTATTGTGCAGGAAAAAACCCTCCATCCCATAACCAGTCTGGCCCTTCTACCTTCATACCTGCTAGTGAGGATGTTGGAGCATTAAGATCCTTCAGGATGAAAACCAGTAGATTATTTTGTAATGAGACTCCAAAGACTACAGGGGGCCCTTTTGAAAAGTGTGACTCTAAGCTTCCTAAAGCAGATGGGTCACCGTGGATTAACAACAGTTGCTACAGTAAGTATTTATACAGAGGTTGCTATTAAAAAGGGAATATTCTTCTACCCACAGCATTGACTGTGCAAATAAATCACCTATATTTTCCTGTTCTCCACAAATGAAAATTATTTACTTCTAAAATGGCAACCACTTCAATTGACCCAAAGCTTTTATTATTCTCATAAATTAATTTATTCAATCTAATGTCTAATCTACTATTCCCCTCTGGTAAAACACAATTTTTGTAAAATTCTTTGAGAGAGATGAATTATATGCACTATATCAGAACTAGGCATTATTTTTATTATTTTAAATAAGGCTATTAAGGCTGATTTAGGGGGTAGCGGCCGAGACCATGTAGACATATACTTCAAGGAGCAATCTTGGCAGTGCTAAGGGGAAGAGTCAGGATCTTCTGGGCCTTTCCCATCTCTGACTTCTACGATCACCAGATTGCAGTATGAAGCCTCTTCAGAGTAAGAATGTTAAGGACTAGTCGACAATCAAAAGCTTATTGGATAGTCAGTCGACTAGTTGATTCCCCCCCACCCTGCTGCCTCAGATAGAGGAAGCAAAGCAGGGGGGAGTGGGTACTTCAAAGGGGCAGCCCCGCACAGCTGATCCCAGGCTTAGTGCCACAAGGAGCCTGGGGTCAGCTGGGGACTCCAGCTGACCCAGAGCTCCGTGTGGCGCTGCTCCTTTGTAACTCCACGGCAGCGTTCCAAAGGGGCAGTGCTACATGGAGCCCAGACTCCCTGGGACACTGCCCTTTGAAGTACCCCCCTCCTTGCTGCCTCTGTCTGATAGACAGAGCATTTGCTTATCGGATAGTTGACTGGTCCTTAACATCACTAGTACAAATTACACCTGATGAATCAGAACACCCAGACCACCATCCGCATGCAGCCTGGAGTCAGCGGGATTCCCGCTGGCCCCAGGCTGCATGGAGTTCTGCATTCCTCCTTTGAAATGTACAGGAGCCCCTGACGCGGAAGTGCCTATCGACTAGGAGAGTAGTCAATGGAAATTCCATCGACTATTCAACTAGTCAATTAACCGATATTTAACATCCTTACTTCAGAGCTCCATTCTACACCCTTGCTGAATAGCTGCTCCTCACTTGGAGTAGCACCCAGGAATTTAAGAATGCAAATGAGCAGAGGGAGAACATGACCTTAGTGGGAATTAGGTGCCTAAATACCTTTGAGGGTCTGGGCCACAGAGTTCACTCACCCTACCTCCCATGCCATTCTCCAAATATTAGTGTATATTTGAAAACTAAGTAGACGGGTTAAAAGTAATGTTCTGAAAGTTAAACCCAACAATGCTAGAGCTGGATTCCTACGTTTTCATGCTTTGCAAGCTTCCACCTGCTGGGTACAAATCCTCCATCTTCGATTTCTTCAGCTTGAGTTTGACAAGGGCCTTATTGTAACTCTGAGCACAATTTAAAAAAGAAAAAGTCAGTGAGTTAATTGTCTAATCAGGACTTCTGTGGAGAAAAATGCTTTCCTACAAACCATGGCATAATAAGCTTGTGATGCTTGAATTTAAGGGGGACACAGTCAACATGAGGCACCAGCAATTAGAAATGAATCCTATTAGTGAGAATGAAAATTACGTTTCCAGTACCATGCATTCATCTCAGAAAATTTACCCTTTTATACTGAAATGCCTCATGGGATCCCCTAAGTCATTATACAAATGATTCCAGTTAGGTTTATTTCTTCTGCTATGTTCACTTTAGTCACAACCTCATCTAACGTGTCATAACACATTATGGGCAAACTCTTCAGCAAAGCAGAGCACCCCGCTGCCTTTTGGGATCAGGCCCCTTGGAAATTAGTGACTGAGGTCAACAAAACCCCAGAGGAGAGTGGAATGATTGCAAGAGCCTGGTAATTAAATCTCTGCATATGCATGCAGAGACCTCAGTAAACAGGAAGACCCGCAGTGAGCTCCATGTAAGTGGATCCTGGCAGAATGAGGGCCTCAGTGTCCATCTAATTGACCGAATCCTCAGTTGCAGATGATTTTTTGGAGAAGGGGGCAATCTCAGGATGGCTGTTTTCCACTCCTGGGGTCACCTGTTCTCCATACTATATCATCTTTATGCGAGTGTTTAAATGTTCGGCAAATTGTCCTTCATTTGCATCTTTTGGTGACCTGAAAAGTTTAAGCAGCAAGGGGGTTATTCCCCTTTGTGTTCCTCTGTGCTAAATAACAATGGCTTGAAAGCTGGGAATGGGGGGTAAACGTTTTGATTTCTGCTTGTTTGGGATTCCCAAATCGGGGAGAGCACTCAATAGAGGTCTCAGGGATGTACTCTGTGAGCTTTCTTCTATTTGTTAAAACGAGTATTCCAAAATAGTTATGACCTGATTTCAGAACAGGCAGTTAATCAGTTCTGTGGAATTTTTTTTCCCTTGGGGATTTATCTTTACCTTTAAACTAGACCATTTTAGAGGCATGTACTTACCTGTCTAATGAGGTCGCTGATCTCAAATTCTTTACTTGGTATCACTGCAAAGTCAGCTTTTACTTCTGAGTATGTGTCATTAATAATAGCCAAGAACATGTTCTGCATAGAAAGGAAGCATTTGGTGAGGTTCTCTATGTAAATTCTATTTCTGCTTTCCAGAGTCTATTCAGTTCTGTTCAGGTTCAGATCTAGCACTCCTCTTTCCTTAGTCTAACTCCTCTTCCCTTCTGCCCAGACACGCTAATGAGTGTTTCTGTCCTTCTGTCCCTCTCATGCTGCTACAGCAGCGTTCTAGAAAACTGGGGGTAGCAACTATGCCCATTTGGGTACAGTTATCCTTGTAGTAAGGATCACTGGTTAGAAAAAGGGCCACATTCTGCTGACATTTATACTGATGTAAGTAACAGGTACAATCAAAGGTGCAGCCAGATGATAAAGGAAAGGAGAATAGTAAGGGGGGGGGTGACACCTTAGATGGAACTACAGCCTTCATTCTCCTGCCTCTTGTCCAGTATTTAATGCTGTACTTAAGAGAGGGGGGTGACACCCTAGATGGAACTTCATTCTCCTGCCTCTTGTCCAGTATTTAATGCTGTACTGCTCTTTGATGGAGGAAGGCTCTAGCTCAGCACAGGTGTGTCTTCATGAAGCATCTGGGCTAACCTAGTCCAAGGTGTGAGCAGCTGCACTGCAAAAGTATACCAGTCACTGTGTCCTTACTGGTGCAGCATTCATCTCTGTGTGTTGATAGACATGTGAGGGCAGACTCTGGTTTGTGCTGAGGTAAACTGAGCCATTCCCTGTGAATTGTGGGAGAACTTGTCTGTCCTTCTGGGTGCATGGGGACTAGTGAGAAGGCACTGGAGGACTCTCAGCATCAAGTGATTTAATCTGTGCCTACTCACTGCAAAGATGGGGGATTACCAGCCTGAGTGAAAGTAGGGAACCAACCTCCAGATGGGCTAGTTGAAAACCACAACTAAACTCAGGTGAGAGTGTTCGAATGAGGAGGGGAGGAGGGTTAAGGGCAACACCTGTGTAATAACCTTGGCTAACTCTGAACGGAACACAGAGGCCTGCATAGACATAGCAGGCCCTAATAGTCACTGTGTCACATGACAATCCCCCAGAATGACCTGGCCAAGTCTGATGTCCACACACTTCACTATGTGAAAGGAGAGGGTTCAATATGATTTGGTTAGTGTAAATGTGCAGGTTGGACCTCTGTGGTCCAGTACCCTCTGGACTTGATTGGTCCTGAACAAAGGAATTTGCCAGACTAGGGGAGCTCAATTCTGGCCCCCCTGCCCAATTCCATTCCCAGCCCCGACTGCTGGCCCCTCTCAGGCTGCCCACCCCACTCTGGCTCCCAACCCCACTGCTGCCAGCCCACTCTGGATGAGCTACTGGCTGCTGGCACTGGTGATGACAGTGTTGGCGGGGCTGCTGGCCCTGCTGCTGCTGGCCCTTGCAGGGCTCCTGGCCGTAGGTCCTCCTGCAGTCTGACTTCTGGGGTGGTCTGGTCCAGGAACATCTGTGCTCTGGCAAGGAGATTGCTAGACCAGAGAGTCCTAGTTTAGAGAGGTTCAACTTGTATTATTATTGTTGTTCATAATTAACACACTACTTACCAGCAACACAAAGAACACGAAGAAAACGAATGTGATGAAGTAAATGGGGCCGAGAATTCGGTTGGCTTGCTCTATGCTCGCAAAGTTAAAATCACCCAGCACTATGCGAAACTGTGTAAAACTTTGAGAAAAAAACAGGTCTATTGACCGTGTGATCTTCTTTTAAAAGGTTTAAAGGAGTTATTTTGTAAGGTAGGAAGTATGGGGTTATGGATTAAAGAACTTCTGGAAGAGAAATGTTTAGAAAGGCACAAGCGAAACACTGGCTAGCGCTGTGCATATGCATAAGAACATAAGAAGGGCCATACTGGGTCAGACCAAAGGTCTGTTTAGCTCAGTATCCTGTCTTCAGTGGCCAATGCCAGACGTCCCAGAGGGAGTGAACAGAACAGGTAATCGTCACATAATCCCTCTCTTGTCATCCATTTCCAGCCTCTGACAAACAGAAGCTAGGGACACAATTCCTACCCACTAATGGACCTAACCTCCATGAATGTATCTAGTTCTTTTTTGAACCCTGCTAAAGTCTTGGTCTTCACAACATTCTCTGGCAAGGAGTTCCACAGGTTGATTGTGCGCTGCGTGAAGAAAAACTTCCTTTTGTTTGTTTCAAACTTGCTACCTATTAATTTCATTTGGTGACCTCTAGTTCTTATGTTATGGGGATAAAATGCAATGGCCACTACAGATGGAAACCCACTGTCAAGGCACTGCAGGGTGGAAACCCACTGTCAAGATTCTGCTGCCAATAAAATCAGTTATTACTCAGCAGATTCTCTGACTTTTACCCACAGGGCATAATGGTGCATGGCCTAGAGGTGAGGGAGCATTTTCTGTGAGATTGTGTGTGTCTCTGAGGCTGCAGATCAGGCAACAGTCTTATCCATATGCCTAATGCCCCTGCACAAATTAATCTTGCTGTATGAGGACAGTTTTCAGCCAAGACTCTGCATATAATGTTGATCTGGATATATATTGGGTCAGCACTGGAGGCAGTAAACCCGACTCCAGATGCCAACTGGAATCTGACCTAGTCTGCCGCTAGAACAACAAGATAACCGAGAATGCCTTTCTAGAGGAAATTCAGAAGGCGTTGTGGATGGGCTACAGGGCTCTGAGCTTTGTAGCACTCTCATTACCTAAGAGAGTACAATTACTGTAATAGCATAAGGGGTGGGTTTAAGTTCTGTTGCAGGGAGGTTATTTGCACGCCCAATTAGAGGTGTCTGCATTGCAAAGGTTTGAAAACTACATACATGCAGTTCTGAAAGGTGGAAAACTCATCAACTTGCGACCCGAAAACAAGGTAGCCTAACTGTGCATATGCAAAGAATATGATGAAAAACATGATAGCAAATCCGATGATGTCTTTGGCACAGCGGGATAACGTGGAGGACAACTGAGTCATCGTCTTGTTAAAGCTTATGTACTTAAATATCTAGAAGAGAAGAGATCAAGTTATTACTGGGAAGTGACCAAAACATACTGTACCTTTCGTAACACAGTACATAGAGTGTTGCCCGATTACTGTAACTTATGAGTTAAGTTGGGTGTTTAATCAGTATTAATAGCCTGACTCTTCAGTGAGAGCTGGATTAGACATAGTTGTGGGGAAAGGATTGCTCTGCAAGCTGGTGGCCAAATACATTTGCACAGTAAAACTCACTGTGGGTGACTATGCCTCTGAGGCTTGTAATTAAGCCTGTGACAAGCCTGTAATTAAGCCTGTGATCACTGGCAAGACAGCTCGGCCTGCAGCAGCCAACAGCTGCAATTCAAGGCCTCCACAATAACACCAATCCATATCTGGGTAAGGGAGTATTCGTAACGAGGTTTTGCTCCCAAATGTTTGTGAATCTAAGATGACAACTCATGAATTCAAAAGCAGATTTTCATTCTTGTGCAAAGTCAGCAGCCAGGCAGACTGAATGGTACCAAGACCACAAACTTCCCCCCTTTACCTTAATGGCACACAAACTAGAGCACCTTGGTTATGACAAGGTGAGATGAAGGAGGGTCATTCATGCACTCCACTCACTAGCCTAGATTGCCCATCACTGAGCTAGAGAGTCTGCTTTAGCTTATTTAAATAGTGGGAGCCCGACTTTAAAAACAGCAGTCTCTGTCCTCGCAAGAGTGAATGACTCCCCTTGTGCTTGCTCTTTCTTTCCACCATCTGCTGGGCACTTTACAAATGCCTGAGCCACAGATATAGATCAGTGACGGTGAAAATGACAGGAATAATTTTTGTCTGTACAAATGGAAGCCAAGCTCAGGACACTCACAGACTCTGGCCCAGACACTTTTAGAGTAGGGAAGTTAAGAAGCGAGTAATTCGTTAATCATGTAGTCAACAAAATGTTTTACTCTCAAGACTAAAGATGCCTAATTTTTAAACCTTTCCTCATAGGCTGAGGTTTCAAAACTTTTTATCATTTTTCTTGTTTTCTTCTGGCATTTCTTCAATTTGTTCATATCTTTCCTTTAAAGTACTGTGCCCAATAGTAGACCTTATTTGCACTAAAAAAGTAAATTTAGCTGACACTGTATTTAAAAGCTATTTAAGAATAATCATGGGTGTGCCATCAGTACAGACCAGGTTATAGCCTTGTTAAAACTAGGTCTAGGAAATAAAAAAGTTTTAAAACACTGGCACAATTATTTCCCACTCAGTCTAGCAGGTCAATAATTCTGTATAGGAGACGGGGCTTTTAACCTTGGGGTCCAAAATATGAAACTTGTCTTTAGAAGGACTAAGGTTGTGCAAGGATTGGGCATGTGACTACCCTGGTTCCTTAAACAGCAAGGTACCATGTTCCTCTTCTGGAATCTTATAAACAAAACTGTCACTTTTAGCTCTATCTTGGCAGTTCAGCCTTGAAGATGTAATGGCAAAGATTTACAATACACTTAGCAGAACTATGATTCTGATGTACAACAGGAAAATCAAGAATTGGTACCTTAATCCATGCGAAGAAGACATTGATAGCAATCATGTTGTTGTAACGGGTTTGCCAGTATGCAAGGAAATAAAAATCTGGATAAGCATATGCATTAGACAGCAGGCTTTCCATCAGCATGGACACCTCTACAGTACGGTACATGTTGAAGGCAATGGCAAAGATAGACAGCTGAATAAAAGCAGAGGCTAGTCAGACTATGATCCAGACCCTGCTTCTCATCTTCTGTGCACTAATCATGCATGATCGTTAGCCTAAAACTCTCTATAATTTGACAAGACTAATCCGGAACACTGAATGAAAGTGAGTGCATGACTGTGTTACAAGTGCGGGAAGTGTAATATTAAGCTGCATGTTCAGGGAAGGACTCAATTGAAGGGGGAAGGTGTCACCTCTGTACCATCTCTTCCTAATCACTGTCCTTCTTGACCCAATAGGACCAGGCTCTACAGCTGTGAAAGGTGCACCCTCCCCCACCAACTGTATGAGGGATGAGTAAGTAGATGGTACTAAATTCCTGGCCCGTCCATTGTACGCTGGGAGCCATCTTCTAGTAGGGGAATCTGGTGTGAGGGAGCTGTATAAGATGATTCCTATCAGAATCAGACTCCTGTCAGGTCTGAGATTGGACCAGAAAGCAGTGTGGAGGGTGAATTGCATGCCTGACAGATGGTGGTGTGATATCCCATAAGTATGTAAGGGAAACTCCCTCAGAAGACGTGTGTTTTCTGACCTATATGGTGAAAACCCACACCATGGGCCAGCTTGGTCCTGAGCAAAGATAGAGATTGAAATTGAGGATTCAGCCTCACAGCAATTTGAGACCTTCTTCAAAGTCCACAGAACTTAATGGAAAAACTCCCACTGACATTCAGATCAGGCTACAGAAACCCACGGGCCATGCCTTGTTTAGTTTGCTCACAAATTAGTTATGAAACTATGTTATCAGATTTATTTTTAATCATAGAATACTAGGACTGGAAGGGACCTTGAGAGGTCATCGAGGCCAGTCCCCTGCCCCCATGGCAAGACCAAATACTGTCTAGACCATCCCTGATAGACATTTATCTAACCTGCTCTTAAATATCTCCAGAGATGGGGATTCCACAACCTCCCTGGGCAATTTATTCCAGTGTTTGACTACCCTGACAGTTAGGAACTTTTTCCTAATGCATCCCAGAATCATGTTTGCTTTTTTTGCAACAGCATTACACTGCTGACTCATATTCAGCTTGTGGTCCACTATAACCCCTAGCCCCCTCCCTAGACAGTCGCTGCCCATTCTGTATGTGTGAAACTGATTGTTCCTTCCTAAGTGGAGCACTTTACATTTGTCTTTATTAAACTTCATCTTGTTTACCTCAGACCATTGCTCCAATTTGTCCAGATCATTTTGAATTATGACTATCCTCCAGAGCAGTCACAACCCCTCCCAGCTTGGTATCATCTGCAAACTTAATAAGTGTACTTTCTATGCCAATATCTAAATAATTGATGAAGATATTGAACAGAACCGGTCCCAAAACAGACCCCCTGTGGAACCCCACTTGTTATACCTTTCCAGCAGGATTGTGAACCATTAATAACTACTCTCTGAGTACGGTTATCCAGCCAGTTATGCACCCACCTTAGAGTAGCCCCATCTAAGTTGTATTTGCCTAGTTTATTGATATCATTCATTGAATCATGTATGATAGCACCAAGAGGCCCCATTGTGTCAGGTGCTGTACAAACTTTTGGAGACTCTCGCTGTCCTGAAGAGCTTGCAGTTGAAATAGATGAGACGGACATAGCGTGGGAAGGAAGAGGAAGAGGGGAAGTGACTCGAACAGTCACATGGCACATCCAGGGGAAAGCTGGGTATAGAATCTAGTCTCCTGAGCCATCATCCAGTGCACTGCCCTACCCACTGCACAACCTAGTCTCATCACTGTACTAAACTGCATAGACCCATTGGCCATCTCTGTCATGTCTCCCATCACAATGGCCATTTGTTCCAAACTGGTAGTGTCCAAAGGAGATTCCAAACCTGCAAGTAGAAGGCAGGACCAGGCAGTACTCACTGACACCAGCAGCATATCCAGCCAGTTCCAGGCGCTTTTAAAATATTCCGTTTTCAGTTTTCTAACTTTCATAATTTCTTGGATGATGAAAGCAAAGATAAAGAGGCAGAAGATGACTTCACAAGAGGCCAGGAAATAATCGTAGTAAGTGACATATCTGAGAAGCTTTACTGAGTAAAACTGTGAGGAAGGAAGAGCACCACCAGTAGCTGGGAATTCCACTACCAACCTATGAAGGGATTAGACAGGATTGTATTTATTACTGGTTTCAGTGATCAGACAGCATCACTTCAAGTCTTTTCCCTTAAAATTAAAACATGATCTAATGATCCAATGAGGGGAAATGCTTCTGTAAAAATAGCAAGCTTAACATCTCTCATTTCCATTAACTCTTCCTCTAAAGATAATTCTCAGACATCCGGAAGAGAGTGAAATGGAATAAGCTGAAGGCAAAACAAGAAAAGCATATGGCATGCAAACCAAATATTCCATCTGCTTGCACTGATCTTAACTAAATGGTCTTTGAGAGGATCATCCACTCGGCCAAGCCCTAAGTTCAGGATTCTGTGTTTTTCCTTCAGTAGCTGATGACAAGACTAATACCCAAGACTCTGACAGTGCAAAAGGTTACTCAAGTCAAGTCCTGTCCCATTGGAATAATCAGCTATAGGGCTAGGTATAATCCTCTGCAGGACCGGGTTGAAGCATTTGCTCCTGTTTTAAGAATTAGCTGTCTTGCCAACTACTGGATGAGAAACACAACTGAGTGTGCTAAGGATAAACAGCCTTTTATTTCAGCCTTAAATAAGCTAATATCTTAGTAAATGGGATTTTGGGTGGAGTAAATGTAAGCACTGACCTGACTACACAGAAGAGGTTTATGTTAGCATTATATACCGAGAAGTCGATAAATATGACTCTTGTCCCTCTAGTGATCCAGCCATTACGTCTGAGAAACGCAAGCTTCCTTATGCTCTCACTTTTCGATTTAGGCAAGGTGAACATAAATCCACCACCACTGTAAAGACCAATGGCTCCCCAGTGCCAGGGAGCTAATGAGGAGGCAGAGGAATAGCTCCATCTGTTGGAGACAAGGAAACAAAGCAGTTTAGCGACTGGGAAATTGGACTGCAAGAGGTTTTTATAACCAATTATTTCCCACTTCTTATGCTTCATTCAACCACTACTGCATTTTGGACTCTTGAATTATCCTTTCCTCACTAGGAAAGATGGAATACAGGCGTGGGCTTGGAAGGTTTACATATATTTAATGTGGGCTAGTCAATAAATTTTTCAAAGACAGATATACTTAAAAGTTGAATTTCTCCCAGCTTAAAAAAATCTTCATATCCAAATGGAACATCTCACATTTACACATAGGCTGTGTCTAGACTGGCAAGTTATTCCGGAAAATCAGCCGCTTTTCCTGAAAAACTTGCCAGCTGTCTACACTGGCCGCTTGAATTTCCGAAAAAGCACTGACGATCTAATGTAAAATCATCAGTGCTTTTCCGGAAAAACTATGCTGCTCCCTTTCGGGCAAAAGTCTTTTTCCAGAAAACTGTTCCGGAAAAGGGCTAGTGTAGACAGCAGAGTAGTGTTTTCCGCAAAAAAGCCCCGATCGCGAAAATGACGATCGGGGCTTTTTTGCAGAAAAGCGTGTCTAGATTGGCCACGGACGCTTTTCCAGAAAAAGTGCTTTTCCGGAAAAGCATCCTGCCAATCTAGACGCGCTTTTCCGAAAATGCTTTTAACAGAAAACTTTTCCGTTAAAAGCATTTCCGGAAAATCATGCCAGTGTAGACGTAGCCACAGAGTATTTCTATTGTAGTAATCCCAGTTTACATTCTTTTAAAAAGGATTTAAATGATCCTAAGTAAAACTAGTAGTAATGACTGAAGAGTTCTGCTGGAGGTGCGAAGAGCCTGCTTTACCTCTGTCTGCATGGCATTAGTACCAGACTAGAAGAGGTCAGCTCAAATTCTGGCCTCCCATAACTGGTGCGTTTCTAGTCAAATCAATGGAGTTTTGCACATTTTATGCCAGTGCTGAACTTAGTCCAGAGTCCCCTATCTTGATGCCAAATTCCTCTGTTGGTATGTACCAGGGGTGGGCAAAATACAGCCTGCCACAATACTCTGGGCCACCAATGTCCTGTAGCCCAGTGGGACCCTTGGGCTGGCTCACTGCCTGCCCAGCCCCCACACGGCACTCAAAGCGGCCGGCTACAGGGGCCAGCCTGTATAGCTTTGCAGCATGTGCCTCTTAGCGGGGGTGGGGTCTTTGCACACTGCTCCTTCCCCAAGCACAATCCTCGCAGCTCCTATTGGCCAATTTCTGGCCAATAGGAGCTGGCTGGGCCATGATGGTGGGCATGTATCGCTTGAGAAGCCCCACCCCCATGGCACATGCTGTGCAGTCACACACGCTAGCCCCATTATCTGGCCACTTTGAGTGAGAGTGACTCCTCTCACAAGGAGTCTGCCTGAGAGTACCACTGGGCTGCTGTCTGGAAACTGCCTCCTAGCCAGAGCCTGAACTTAGCACCCCATCCCACGCTCCCGCCTCCTGCCCCAGGTCACGCCCAGGGACGGCCCGTGAGCCTAGGTGCGCTAGGCAGCTGCCTAGGGCGCCGCTGGCCTGGGCGCCTGATTATGACGTCATGGCCATTGACGGCCGTTCAGGCAGGGGCGCCAGCTGCTGGCGGCAGGCCCCGGGCGCCCCCGCTGGTCACATCTCCCTTCTTCACCCAAACTCCCTCCCAAACTCCACGTCCCTTCCTGCATCCCAATTCCTTACCCAGAGTTCCCTCCTGTACCCAACTTCTGTCCCAGACCCCACACCTCCTCCATTAATAGCATAGAAAAGTGCAGCCCTTGGCCATTTGCCAAATTCTTGGCGAGGCCCCCTCATCAAGAATTATTGCCCATTCCTGGTGTACATCCAAATCAGTGGGCTGCACCAGTACAAATCAGTGAAGAATTTCTCCTCTCAGAAGTTTTGATTGCTGAGATCGAAATGCATTAAAGCAATGACAATGGAAATTGTATTGAGCAGTTTTCAGGCTTTCTTGGTAGAATTCTGAAAATCATCTAAGGGAATTAAGTGTCCAACTCCCATTGAAAGTCATGGAATTTTAAAACCCTGCATGTCTTATAAACCTATATCCAAAGTAAACAATAAGAAAGTCCAAAGTGGAATACTACAGTACTCACACAGACCCGTTCTTCAGACCAAAATCAGATCTATCTTCAGCTCCATAGCGGTACTCATGGTAACACTTAAATAGGGATAGATGGAGCAGGTGTTGTTGCGGACTTTTAACTGGCGAATCTGAGCTAATCCTAAAAGTAAGTTCTCATAGTAAACATGGCTGCTGTTTTTATGGCTGGTCAACGTCTTGTTGTTGTACCATGTGTCCCAGTACAGACCATCCAGAAGGGGGCCTTCTGCAAACTAGATAACGTAATGAAATTAGATACGAGAAGCTGAAAAGGCCCCTTTCAGTGTACGTTTTTAAGATGCCAATCTTTCTAATAGGACTTTCATAAAAGACTAGAAATTACACGTTTCCAAGTTAGTCTATAACAGGAAAATCTTGAAAAACAACGAATAGTCTGGTAGCACTTTAAAGACTAACAAAACATGTAGATGGTATCATGAGCTTCCATGGGCACAACCCACTTCTTCAGATGACTGGAGTGCTGGACTTCCAACACTCTGGTCATCTGAAGAAGTGGGCTGTGCCCACAAAAGCTCATGGTACCATCTACATGTTTTGTTAGTCTTTAAAGTGCTACCAGACTATTCGTTGTTTTTCAAGATTTTCAAGTTAGGTCTAGCTATTGTCCAGGAGCTATAAACACCGAAGGTTGATAGGTTGTAACATCTTCAGAGAATTACCCTCACCTGGGGAGACTTGTTCCAACTGGTTCCAGAGACCAAAAGACAAAGAAAATACTTTTGGATAAATAAATCAAACTGACTCTGGGCCTTTCTTTGGCAGTGGCTGGGGTGGGGGGGGGGGGGGAGAGGGGCCCAGCTCCTTCCTGGGAAAGGCTGGAAGAACTTTGGGCTACTGAAGCCCCCTAAGATTGGTGGGTGACCTCAGGTAAGCTCTTAGCATGTATATGATATCTGTTATTGTTTTAAATATTTTTTCTGTAGTGTTTTCAACTTAAGAATAAATGTGTGTGCTTAGGGAGAGCAGCCTGATAACTTATGACTGCTGGCAATCATGTTGTTCATAGCCTTCAAAGAGAAAACGAAGTGTAGACTATAATAGAGTTTAAAGAGAAGCTCCTGGACTCCAGCCCTAGCTTGAACATCTACACTGTAATTTTGCAGCCTAAGTCCTGTGAGCCCATCAGTTGATATGGGCTAGTTGCAGAGGTTTTACTGCAATATAGACACGTCTACCCTGAAGAAAAATCCACAGTTGTAAGTCTCAGAGCCCAAGTCTACTGACTGCTAATTTTAGCACCCTAGCACAAGTCCTACTATGGAAACTTCTGTTTAGGCCAGAGCTTTGGCTCTCAGGCCTTGCCTCCCCACCAGGTTTCAGAGTCTGGGTTCCAGCCTAGGAGGGAACATCTACACTGCTATTTTTAGGCCTTCCCCACCCGGTGAAAGCTCAAGTCAGTTGACTCAAGCTCTAAGACTCGCCACTTCATGGATTTATTTATTTTTGCAGTGTAGACATACCCGAAGTCAGGGGTCTCAAACTCAATTTACCTTAGGGGCAGTGCCAGTCCTCAATTCCTCCTAGTGGGCCAGCGGACACCCCTCTCTGGCAGGGCTTAGGGATGGGTGTCTCTGTGTGCTACCCCTGTGAATCCCCTGGCTTTGCCTGACCAAATTCATACCATTCCAAACCAAGCCATATCAAAACATGGTCATTGTTAACTCAGTCTAACAAACCTTGTCCCAGACAGCTAAGCCAGTTTTGCTCATTAAAATATATGTAACATTTGGGATGTGTGGATCAAGCATATAAGATGTTACTGCCCCAGTTATGAGAAACCAAAAGGGGCTTTGGTTAAGGATTGCTATATTCATGGTAGAGATGTAAGCGACTAGTCAAGTAGTCAACTACCCAATAAGTCTAGGCTTATCAGGTAGTCGAGTGAATACTCGACTATTCACTTCCCCTCACCCCTTTCTGCCTCGGATACAGAGGCAGCGGGGCAGAGGGGAGCAGGAGCCGGGGC